TTACTACTACTACTACTACTACTGCTACTACTACTACTACTACTACTACTACTACTACTACTACTACTACTACTACTACTATTACTACTACTACTACTGTGAAAAATGCGCAGAGCACTATTAATAATATACTGCAGAGAAGAAGTCAACCAGTAATAATACTAAGACGAATACTACTACGAATAATGATACGAACACGAAGAAGACGAATACGAATACTGATACGACGAATATCAAGACACATACTGATAATACGAATGCTACTACTTTGAACACGTAGAAGAGTATGAGGAGGAGGAGGAGGCGGAGGAGGATGACGATGAGGCGGCGGCAGAGGCGGAGGAGGATGATGATGATGATGAGGGGGGAGGAGGAGGAGGATGAGGATGAGGATGAGGAGGAGGATGCGGAGGATGAGGAGGAGGATGGGGAGGAGGAGGAAGAGGAGGAGCAGGAGGAGGAGGAGGACACGGAGGAGGAGGACGATGAGGAGGATGACTACGAATAATAACACCAATAAGAACAATAACACCACACAAACATCAGACAACTAATGCGACTCCTACTAAGACTAATTCTAGAGACAGAAGAAGGTGACTGCTAATCATATTAAACAGCATAGTTGTAATACTATTAATCATGCGACTTGTGATAAGACTACGGGGAACGCTCGTACTAATACTTCTAATGGGAAAAGTAGTGCTAGTATTATTTATAGTATTCCCAACCCTCCTTGGTTGGGTATTCGTTTTGAGCAGAGCAGTGTGGTCTCCACTCCTCCCGTCCTCCTCCTCCCTCCCTGCCTCTTCCTGTCTTGCCTGTGGGGGGCTGCGATCTGTGAAACTGTCGCCATTTTCGAGGCCTGCTGGGGGGCCCAGCAGAGTGAGGGCCCCGCGCATATTCAACTTAGACCTCGCCATCCCTGGGGGGGCTGCGATCTGTGAAACTGTCGCCATTTTCGAGGCCTGCTGGGGGGCCCAGCAGAGTGAGGGCCCCGCGCAGATTCAAATTAGACCTCGCCATCCCTGGGGGGGCTGCGATCTGTGAAACTGTCGCCATTTTCGATGCCTGCTGGGGGGCCCAGCAAAGTGAGGGCCCCGCGCAGATTCAAATTAGACCTCGTCATCCCTGGGAGGGCTGCGATCTGTGAAACTGTCGCCATTTTCGAGGCCTGCTGGGGGGCTCAGCACAGTGAGGGCGACGCGCAGACCCAACTTAGACCTCGCCATCCCTTCGGGGCTGCGATCTGTGAAACTGTGGCCATTTTCGAGGCCTGCTGGGGGGCCCAGCAAAGTGAGGGCGACGCGCGGATTCAAATTTGACCTCGCCATCCCTGGGGGGCTGCGATGTGTGAAATTGTGGCCATTTACGAGGCCTGCCGGGGGGCCCAGCACAGTGAGGTCCACGGGCAGATTCAACTGAGACCTCGCCATCCCTGGGGGGGCTGCGATCTGTGAAACTGTCGCCATTTTCGAGGCCTGCTGGGGGGCCCAGCACAGTGAGGTCCACGGGCATATTCAAACGAGACCTCGCCATCCCTGAGGGGGGCTGCGATCTGTGAAACTGTCGCCATTTTCGAGGCCTGCTGGGGGGCCCAGCACAGTGAGGGCCCCGCGCAGATTCAAATGCGACCTCGCCATCCCTGGGGGGTTGCGATCTGTGAAACTGTGGCTATTTTCGATGCCTGCTGGGGGGCCCAGCACAGTGAGGGCCCCGCGCAGATTCAAATGCGACCTCGCCATCCCTGGGGGGGCTGCGATTTGTGAAACTGTCGCCACTTTCGAGGCCTGCCGGGGGGCCCAGCACGGTGACGCCACGGGCAGATTCGAATGAGACCTCGTCATCCCTGGGGGGGCTGCGATCTGTGAAACTGTCGCCATTTTCGAGGCCTGCTGGGGGGCCCAGCACAGTGAGGGCCACGCGCGGATTCAAATTAGACCTCGCCACCTCTGGGGGGGCTGCGATCTGTGAAACTGTTGCCACTTTCGAGGCCTGCTGGGGGGCCCTGCACAGTTACGCCACGGGCATATTCAAACGAGACCTCGCCATCCCTTGGGGGCTGCGATCTGTGAAACTGTCGCCACTTTCGAGGCCTGCTGGGGTGCCCAGCGCAGTGACGCCACGGGCAGATTCAAATGAGACCTCGCCATCCCCTGGAGGCTGCGATCTGTGAAACTGTCGCCACTTTCGAGGCCTGCTGGGGGGCCCAGCACAGTGACGCCACGCGCGGACCCAACTTAGACCTCGCCATCCCTGCGGGGCTGCGATCTGTGAAACTGTCGCCACTTTCGAGGCCTGCTGTGATCCCCGTTTTCGAAGTGGCTAGGAGTGCTCAGGAATTGTATCTCATCAGCTTTATCAAGCCCTTTTCCTGTAGCCAGTGTCCTGCGAGTCTCCCGAGTTCCGTCTGCAGACATATGTAACCCTCGCTCCGTCATCGCCCCCGTATAAAGTATCCTAAACTAGTTGCGCCCCGCTTTTGCGCAGGGGTTGGGTATGT